TTTTTTAGCAATACAAATCCGGGTTTTTTTTAGAGAAAAACTGTCAAAAAATAAAAATAAAAAATAAAAAAAATGTCATGATTGTCACGATACAGGTGCGAACGATTTGTTTTGGATAAACAGTCCATTTTTGGCATTGCACGGCACGCCTACAAAGTCTCCGCGTCAAGTAAGGGCGATATATATATTTTTTCGTTATTTCGCTTTGGACGCGACAAAGCTAAAAAGTCTTTCTATCACGAAAGATGAATTTGCTTTTGCCCTTAACCTTGCTAAGCCTAGGATCAATAATTATTGAAGGTAAGCATATGTGCAAGTTCCTGCCAATGGAAATCTAGTGGAGTTCATGAATTTAAAAAAAATCCTTCCTTGTTTTGATACATATGGAAAGGAACCTACATGAAACAGGGTTATGTCTAATAAAATCCCGATAAGGTCAAGATATGTGATTATGGATAGGCGTTAATGAGTAGGTCTCGTGCTACAAAAATCGAATTATTGTCATGAATATTTTTTGATGATCAGTGATGGATTCGTGATTGAAAAAAAAAACAACAATGCCTTGCGTCCATACCTTAAAAAAAAGCTTACATTAAACAGAGAGTAATTTCTCATTCTTGTCAATTTTGACTTAACAAATTTTGATAACCAGTTCATCTCGTAAAACAATTTTTTTCCAAAACTTACCTGAAAGTGATGTTTATCTGTTAAAATTGTCGCTTGCGGAAATAAAGTTCTGATGGTTTAATGTAGCAAGGCAAGTTTTTTGAATTTGTATTTGATATAAATAAAGCTGATAGGCAAGGTTTCGTCTTATGAGAAGCTCAAATCAAATGCGGAAAAAAAATCAAAATTATGCGGAATTTTTTGAAAAGATTATTATGTTTAAGGTGTTTCGATCGTAATAAATAGCGTTTCGCGCGTATTAAAAAAAAAATCTTAACGTGAAATGTCGAGTTGTCTGAGCAAAATGATGTACATTCGAACAACTCGACATTTGGGGTTAAGATTTCATTGAAACTTCGTCAGTATATCAATTATGTTATTAAGAAATGATTCTGAAAATTTTATTACAATCTCTTTGATGAGTTTCGAGAAAATTAATTTTGAAGAAAAATGAAGGTGTTTTTATTTTGCATCGCTTATCCAAATGGCTTCGCTTTTTGGCAAATTAATTTATCAACAAGAATTATCGATAATCACTGTTACTTCTGTGAAAGTTTGAGTGCAATTGAATTGAAATTTGCGAAGTAGTTGGAGTTTAAAAATACGCGCGAAACGCTATTTATTATACGTTCGAAACACCTTAAGAACGCAATTATGTTGGAAATTATGCGCGATGACGTCATCGCTTTGAATTATGACTACTTTCGGTTACGTAACTCAGCTGTTTCACTTCTTTTGGTAAATTAATTTAAAGTACAAAAAGGGACAAAAACACTTTTCAAGCAAGCCACAGCTGCGGGCAATTTATACATAAATTATTTGGAAAATTACGTGGGGATTACTAGAAGTAATGGCCGATTATGCGGATTTACAGCGGGATATAATCTGAATATCGCTATATCAAGCGGCCAAATGGATTTGAGGACATCATTTATTTCGAGTCATATTATCACTAATGCTGAGCGTGACCCAGAATTAATGAATGAATGTGCATTTTTGAAATGACACTCTGGCCGACTCAAAAGGAAACAGGATGAAAAATATAGGAATAGAGTGTGTATTTACTGCGAACAACTTATGAGGATTTGTGTTAATTACATATTACTAGCACAGAATGAATTTGGAAAGTATGTAAATATTAATAACTACATAATTACATCAAATATTGCCTGAATGTCACGATATGCTTTAATATCATAGAATTCTTAATTAAGTATCAACAAGACTTGACATTGTTGAACAGTCAGTCTTGAGATGTTGGGTTAAAAATGAAAATCGAGCATACATTAATTTTGAAATTTGTCAGGTAAAAATGCATGAAATGACATAATGTCGCCATCATGTCTCATTTGATTTACGTAACAGCTGTTTCACATATACAAGTTACAACATTGCCGGGATTCCTGTGTTAAATAAAAAAGCACTGCTCTATTTGATAATCAAATATCAGAAAAGATTCAAGAATTTAAAAATACAGTATTTTTGGAGTTACAGGTACAAAATTAAATTTTGCTTGAGCTATTGTTAGTGTAGTGAGACGAAATTGAATAATATAACTTTTCATGGGAGATTTTTTCCGGTCGTCACACATTACTTTAAATAGAATCAACTAGACGCTCTAATATTACGCGAACTCGTGCCCTGATATGCCCCGTGCGGCTGGGAGACTTTGAACTCGCACTGATGTTTGCGTTGGGCACCACAGGCAACCCAAGCAAAGCATTTGATTCATTTTTTTTATTTTTTTAATAAAATACATTTTACCTTAATCTCATGTGTTGCTGATGTTATTTAACATTGCTGTGTGTGATTTTGAAGGGATTTAGAGCTATTTTTAAAAAAATATCCAGAATTGGGCAATATTTCAACTGACTTTAAATCTAACCGTGCCAAATCGTCATTTTTGTACGATATTCTGACTCAATTTTTGAATCCGTTCAAGCATTCATCGACYTTGATGGACACCGTTTTCAAACTCCCTCTGATTGGACGACAGTTACCATGGAATCAGTTCAAGTACTTCCGACTGAAATAGCTACTGCGCTGTCATGAAGTATTTTTTTGATTAAACTATACATAATCATTTGTTTTGTCAATAAAAAATGGCTTGTTTTTCTACTAATTATTGCTTTCCTTTGAGGGAAATTTTGCTCAATTTTCCGAAACTGGTTACCCATTGTTACGTTACGTCTTGATATCACATCCATTATGGATGACGATTTATTAGTGACAAACTTTTCAAATATAATGACCTGAATATTCAAGTCGGCCGAGCAACTTGTCCGATATATACAATCAGACGTTAAGTGTAACTAGCATTTTAATAATTGTTAATCTTACTTCTTAGATTTCTTTTCATTAACCCGCGAAGCGAAATGTGAAAGTCGAAGTGTAAAAATGTGACTAGTGCTGGGGAATTTTTCTTTCAAAATTTTATCTCGGCAAAAAGACAACAACTTTTATCTCGCAAAGACAGAATTTTTGTAATTTCAGTTACTTTTATTTATTGTTCTGCAGGGTGCACAACCAATCTCAACGGAGACAGCGGAGAGCTCTCGATCAATGAAACCTACTTGAGAAAGCCATCAAACTGCTCGTGGACAATTGGTGAAGGCAGAAGTGATATCAACTTCATAGTCATCAAATTTGAACCATTTGATCTGGGTGATCAATGTTTGTACGTAATGTATTATATAACACCTGAGTGCTTGTTAAAAAGCTAATGAGCTCATTTCAGTAAGTTAAACTATCTAAAAAGAAGTAGGAAATTGAAGAAAAAAAAGAAAAAAAGCTCTGATAAAAATCCAAAGAAAAGGGAGGGAAAAAGAAAGAAAGAAGAACAAAAAGAGGTAGAGGTAATAAAAGGGAAGAGAAGATGTAGTGCAAGACTGCTGTAATAAAACTCTAGGAATAAATAAAAGATAAAAATAAATTGTTCATTATGAAGACGAGCTAGCAGGAAGCGCGCCAATCAGAGCTCCAATCAGATGGCGCGTTATATATCAAAATCGTATAAATATATATATCTGAGAGAGTACATTACAAAGGGGCTTTAGCTTGGGAAGAATTATTATCCAGACGTCCAAAAGTCGCGATTTATTCACTTAATTCTTTATTCTAGGTCTTAATTCTTTGTCACCCTTTTGTGCTGTCCATCCTCATCATCCTGTCTGCAAGGGAGGCCTCCAATCAATGGCAAGGCAAGATGAGAGAGTACATCACAAAAGGGTCTTAGCTTTGGCGGAAATATCCAAACGTCAAAAAGCCGTGGTTTATTGACTCATTAATTCTTTGTCTTCCCTTTTGTTCTGTCAATGCTCATATATATTTTTATTCTTTGAATAGGTTTTGCGTTTTTGCAAACAGGTGTATAAGCAACAACAGAATTTTTTATCTTTCATACGATTAAATGCTTTCACCTTAAATTTTCTTACAAGTTGTCATTATTCTACATTCCATTTGCATTCTTTGCTGCAGTGAAGATCAAGACGTTTATGTCGAAGTCGCTGATGTGAATCACGAGTTTAAAGTTAAAGAATGTGGTGGAGGGAGGTCATTTGAAGTACTGATCAAAAGGCGCTCGGCAGTTGTCAGATTTTACTCAGAGTCAGGTTACCATACGCATTGTGGATGGTACGACCCGTATTGCACTCACGATACTCAAAATATCCGCCTGTCTTTCCATGTTATTTCAAAGAAACTGGCAGGTCAGTACATTTAATTTATTATTCATTTGTTGATATTGGAGGGGTTGTGGCTGTTGTTGTTGTTTTGCTTTGTTCTCTAGCAAACGATGTTGTTATATAGAAAGTAAAGTAAACTTGATAACCAAACGAGAATTTTGTGTCTTTTTGAGCATTCGTCTGTTTTCAGCTATTTTTATTGAGTAGCTTTGAACGAACTCTCGGCAAACTCATTCGAAATTCTGTTATTTTCAGTTTCTACATCATCTTACATTTGAATTCCATAGAGAGTTGCGAATCTGAAATTAAGCTGTTTTGAATTTTTTGGCCCACCTTACGGAATAAAAAGAACTCGGACTGATATAGCAATAACGGTTGGCACGGAGAGTGCGCCATATAATAAGAATAATGAAGGGGATCTACAAGCCATTTAACAGTAAATTATGACCCTCACCTAACACTTTCTAAAGCCTGTGATTTATGCTCGAAGGCTTGACTGGAAAGAAGTGGAAACCTACTACAAAACAACAAAAACCTGGTGAAATTACCATTGATTGGGATCAATCGACGCTGCCATCAAATAGCTATATTGTTGTACCGCTGTATAACTTTACTACGAAAGAAGAGCCTCTCCTGTACATCATTGAACATAGAAATGACACATCAATAGCAGTGGAATACCTTAAACCAGCTACTTTATATACGTTCAAAATTGTTGCTTTCGATCCCACGAATACGACCGAGTCCTTTATCGAAAGCTGTACGTCGTCTATTAAAATGAAAACTGGTAAGTTCAATCAAGCTCATTATTTTTCGATTATATTTGCTGATTCTTTTTACAAATCAATCTTCAGCGGATTTATTAATGCAGCCTATTAAGAAATACCAGCCAATAACTTTCCCTCCTTCCCTTCAATACTTTCTTTGTTTTCATATATGCACTATTAATTAATATAATTAAACTATTACCAAAATGAATAATAAAAATATCCAGTTGTCTCTAGCTTTTTTTCTTTATTATCAGACGTTTCGATCTGGTCTCAGATCTTCTCCAGTGCAAACATTAATCAGATAAATAGTTCTCTTCTATGGCAGAGCTACGATACTAACTGAAAATTGTGTAACCAAGCGTCTTTTGCTCTTTTGCAGACTCGATAAGACTTATCGGTGGAACGCTATCCAACGAGGGAAGAGTTGAAGTATTCAAAGACGGTTTATGGAATGAGATATGCTTACATCGTTGGTCATGGCATACTAAGAATGCCAATGCTGTGTGTCGATCATTTGGTCTACCCGATATCTCTAATGTTTTGCATCATGGAGAATTTTTGGGGTCGTCTTTCCCAATCCAAATGCTAGAATTTCAATGTAATGAAACGGCGACTACTCTCGAAGAATGCCTGAAAGATACACAATCTGCCTGTAAGGGCTACGGCCGGCAATCATCAACTAGAGTGATATGTGGACATCCACCTGGTAATCACAATAATATCAATAATAAAAGTTAAAGAATAAGTGATCCAGTCAGCGAACTATATAATTTTTGACCGGGCCGGAATATCGTTATTTACTGTATAATTGCTCTTACAAGGCAACTTTAATCATGTAGTAGAGTGTACTTACAGAATCTCTTCCTCTTTTATAGTTAATCCAGAGGTTGAATTCTTAATTTTTTTTTGTAAGTGTTTACGTGAATACGCTGTTGGATTTCTGACTAGAAAAGGCTATAGGTTTTATCATAATAGTTTACGCATTAAAGATTATAAATCTTTTGATATCTTGACAATCAATTAAGAAAGACTTTGGACCCAAAAAGTAAGTTCCAGCACCAGAATAATGATTCTTTCTAGAATATAATACGTGCTATTTTATATTTTCAGTTTTTCATCAAAATATCACTAAGATGACTGGTGTTATTACAAGTCCTGGATATCCATCATTCATGATGCAAGCCGATTACCGCTGGATATTCATGCCAAATTTGACACGTGGACGCGTTGCTCTCTATTTTGATGTTCTGGATTTGCGGCGGGGTTTTCATGGGTAAATAACAATAAGATACTACGCACGTTTTGATTGGATCAGAAGTGAGTTAGCACAAAGCACCTTTTTACATGGCTGTGACGTCGCTATCTGCGAAACAAAAACGCTAAAAAAGAATGCATAAAAAACAGTAAACACTGAAAAATAAGCCGGAGCTTTGATCATGTCCATATATTGCTATTTCTATTGTCTCGTTTTCTTGTTGTGTAGTTTGTCTTTTGTCAATCTACTGTTTAATTTAGATATTACGTCAACTATTATGCAACAACTACTAACTATTTGCTGAATAGAAATTTACAGCTATTTTAAAAAACGTTGTCGGGGAGAACGGCGAATGTCGAAGGGAGATTGCACGACCGAAAGGGACGATGGTTACAGTGCTTTTGATAAACATAATTTTACTTATTGGATTCACCTTACCTAGAAATGGTGACTAAATGGAACTGATGTTTACCACAGACCATCTTACAGTACAAATCAGTTGTTATTGCCTTTCAACTAGCAAAACCCATGGCTACTTTCGGCCGTGCAATTGCCGATCGACCATTGACATTCGCCATTTTATCCGACAACCTATTTTGAAATAGCTATATACTAGTCATAGCTATCGCTAAGTGCCAACGAGCAGATGATGTTTTGCAGAAATTGTCATGAAGGCGATTTAGCGCGATATTAACAAATAGATGAAATATGTCACTAAGAAAACAGTTAGCGTCATGTGAAGTTTGTCTTTTCGATCTTATCCTGGATGGGTCTCCTCCATGATGTCAGTTTTTTATAAGCGTCAGATTTTTATGTAGACTCGGTCAAGAGATATCATTGCAACGTTAATGGTTTGTAGTAGACTATAGACTCTTCCAAAGTCGCTTACCAGTCGTCGAAGCACGCCATAGCTAAAAGAAACTGTTGAAGTTAAATTACTGAAAAGACCATAGACGGTGAATAAATTAGGTGTCTGTTCCTTCATTTTGTTGTATTGACCTGTGCACACTTTCTAAGAGAGTTTTTAGTCAATCAAATTGTATGATATTAGCCTGAAAGTGAACAATTGCCTCACCTATCCGCCTAACTATTAGTCATATAGTCTTCCCACTGAACAATTGAACATGGATATCTATAGCTATTCTCTGAAAGCAATTTCGTTGTGCCGTAAATCATAAATGGCACTGACCAATAAATGAGTACTTTAACTCAATGTGAGAATTCAATGAAATGTACTCTGTGCTCTTGTTAGATAGTTTTGTTTGTTTTAAAACTGACATTTTGTCAAATAGTGCAGTGGCACGCTGGCTTATTCGTGAACGCGTTGGTTCGTTTTGGTACTCAAGTTTATTGAACACGCTGGTTCGAGGATTGACTAAAAACACTCTCAGGAAGTGTGCACAGGTCAATACAACCAAATGACGGAACAGAGATCTAATTTACTCACCGTTTATGGTCTTTTCAGTACTTTAACTTCAACAGTTTCTTCCTTTAGCTATGGCGTACTTCGACGACTTGCAAGCGACTTGTGATGCCAGGACCATGAGACTATCGTGGTTTCCGATTGGTTTAGATCGGAGTTCTATTGTGTGCTCCAATTGGTTGACTCGTAATTCCATTGTTACATTACATTACATTACATTACATTACATTACATTACATTACATTACATTACATTACATTACATTACATTACATTACATTACATTACATTACATTACATTACATTACATTACATTACATTACATTACATTACA